GTTTCTGAGGTTCTCTGGGGAGTCCTGACACACATCCCTCAAGGATAATTGTGGAGCTGTTGTTATGTGTATTATTTTTAATGTTTTAGCAAAGGAGAGAGAGAGAGGAGAGAGAGACAGAGAGAGGGGGAGAGAGAGAGAGAGAGAGAGAGAGAGAGAGAGAGTGAGTCAGTCTGTGCACATGTGCCCACATGCACTGTATTTTTTCAAAGCAATCTTCAGACTTAGGCTCTCCATTAAGAAGCAAGGTCCCCGTAGCCACCTCTTCCCATGCACCGAGTTTCTGGTTACAAGTCAAGTGTAGGGGTGCAGACATGCCGTCACAGTACTCAGGAGACTGAGGCAGGAGGGTTGCACAAGTTTGGGGCCAGCCTGAACTATAAGGTGAGACCTTTTCTCACCTGATTCAAAAGACAAAATATGTATTATTTTGTATGTTTTTAATACACATTTGCTCTAGGAATTTAGAAAAGACAGTCAAGCAAAAAGAAAGCCAGGGGTAGTGGATTAAACCTCTTCTCCTCTCAGAATGTCCTCATCTAAATAACCCAGCCATGCACCCCGCCCCCACATTCTTGCTGTGAATGATCGGTCAGATCACAGTAAGTCTTCTTCAGTGAAGGGGACAAAAGTAATCTCATGAGTTACAAGGTGCTGTATTTTCCATCCTACTGCTCAGTGTGGTTCAAAGGCCAGCAGACCTAACAACATGCACATCTTTGACCTCACCCCAGAATCCACACTTTAACAAGACAGCAGTAGTTGGAATGCCCATTAGTACTACTGTGTGTGGATACTTACAGCCTGGACCAGAGGCTGGAGCCAGAGCATAAACCGCTGACCCCTTCCTTTGTTGAGGCTCATGTCAGCTCGCGTAAGTAAGCAATGTGATGGCTGAGGTGACCAATTTACATTCTGACCCAAGCTCCTTATCTTGTCAGATGCCAGACACGCACTGTCTCAGAGGCGACCGTTGGTGGCCAGTGAGATGCACTGTCTCAGAGGTGGCCCTTCGTGGCCTGGCATTTTCCATCTATCTGACCCACCCAACCAGTCATGACACACACATTAACATGTGCACACCCTTATGCTTGAACACACACATGGCCATATGCACAGGACACACACACACACGCACACACACACACACACACACACACACACACACACACACACACACATTAGTAAACCTAGCTAAGAGTTGGTGTTTGGGACATCTCTGCCTCCTGGGTTTAACTGAGGCTTTACTTCTCACGAGAGGGCTTCTCATGGATTTCCCACAAGAGTACCATGCTCTTTGCCATCTCCGCCTGTGGGGCAAGGAGCTTTGGGGCATCTATCAAGAGCAGCAGTCTCAAGGCTTGATGCCTTTGCAAGGAGACAAAAGCCTTTTTTGCCCCCACACATTCCCAAGTCAGTAGGTGTTGTCAGGTCCCCAGGGTCAGCAGAGGCGGAGCCAGCCTCAGCCAGCATTCTGTAAGGCACTTGCTCTGGTCATAGTTGTCACCTCCCTGAGGATCTCTGGGCTCATTTTCATGTGGACGCTGGAAAAGACACAGGACCTTTCATGCAATAGTTCTGTTTGAAACTGATTTCCTAGCTGCTGTTCTCTGTCAGTGACCTTACGAAGTTACTTCCTCTCTGCCCTGTCCCTCATCCATAGAGCTTAACAATTATCCCTGAGAGGATCAGTGACAGTATCTCTAAAGTACCTCCTGCTGACACATTCATTCTCCCACCCACCCACCTACCCAGCCAGCCAGCCGCTCACAGACCCACCCAGTCATCGCTCATGGATCCAGTGGTCTTTACTGAGCACCTTCTGGGCTCCTGGGAGATGCCGATGACTAAACAGAAAGCAGGAAGGATGGGCACAGCCAAAGGGTGTGGGCGGGGGCTGCAGTGGGCGGGGCCGCAGTGGGCAGGGGCCGCAGTAGGCGGGGCTGCAGTGGGTGGGGTCCGCAGTGGGCGGGGCTGCAGTGGGCAGGGTCCGCAGTGGGCGGGACTGCAGTGGGCGGGGGCTTCAGTGGGAGGGTGCTGCCAAGAAAAGGAAGGAGGGGTTGGAGGGCAAATGCTTCAAGGTGTACACCCAGGCGAGGACTTTTTGAGCAGGACTCCAACAGCACAGGAAATAATCCCAGAACTGACAACCGGGAATCCATGAAGCTAGGAAGTTTCTGCACAGCAAAGGAAGCAATCACCAGAGGGAAGAGACTAGGGAAAGCCACACCAACTGTACTTCTGACAAGAGATTAATGTCGAAGATATATTGATTACAACAAAAACACCAAGTCCTAAATTATCCAACCAGTAAATAGGATGATGAGCTGAACAGACAGCTCCAAGAGAAGAAACATAGATACCCAGTAACACACTTGAGAAGGTATCCTTGGCCATCAGGGAGATGCAGATTAAGATACCCAGTAACACACTTGAGAAGGTATCCTTGGCCATCAGGGAGATGCTGATTAAGATACCCAGTAACACACTTGAGAAGGTATCCTTGGCCATCAGGGAGATGCAGATTAAGATACCCAGTAACACACTTGAGAAGGTATCCTTGGCCATCAGGGAGATGCAGATTAAGATTGCTTCGAGGACTGCAGAGATAGCTCAGCTGGTGAAGTGCATACTGCTGTGCAATCATGGAGACTGGATTTGGATTCCCAACATCCACAGGCAATGCCAGGCATGGTGGTACAGGATCAGAGTCCCAGCACTGGGAGGTGAAAACAGGCAGAGCTTAGGGGCTCCCTGGTCAGTCGGCTTAGCCTAACTGATAAACCCTAGGTCCCAGTGAGAAACCTTATTTCAAAAATAAACCAAGATCCAAGGTTGACCTCTGACCTCCACATATACATGTATACACATGGGCACATACACTACATATATACACTCTTATACAAACACACATGCACAATCACAAAACAGTAAACAAATAAAATTTCCTTGAGAGTCTATCTCACCCCAGTCAGAATGATGTCACACACCTTTAATCCCAGCCCTCAGGAGGCAGAGGCAGGCGGATCTCTGTGAGTTTGAAGCCTGGTCTCCTCAGAAGTTCCAGATCAGTCAGGAAACATAGTGAGACCCTGTCTCTAATACATAAATAGGACAACAAATGCTGGTGAGGATGTTGAAAAGAGGGTTCTTCCTCGCTGCTGGTGAGGTGGAAACTCAGTCAGTCACTATGTACATCAGTATGGAGCTTCTTCAATAAACTAAGGCTAGAGTCCCATGCCTGGGCGTGTGCCCTCAGGACTGTGAGGCAGAACACCACAGAGACCCTCGCACATCCAAGTTTGAAACAGTCGAGAAGTGGAAGCAGCCCAGATGTTCATGGATGCAAGCAGCCCAGATGTTCATGGATGCAAGCAGCCCAGATGTTCATGGATGCTAGCAGCCCAGATGTTCATGGATGCAAGCAGCCCAGATGTTCATGGATGCAAGCAGCCCAAATGTTCATGGATGCTAGCAGCCCAGATGTTCATGGACTATAATGGAAATCAGAAGGGAGGAGGAGCAGGGGGGGAGGAGGGCAGTGGTGGGGAGGGGGCTAACAATCCACAGAAGGACATGGACAGACTGTGACAGAACCGCCAAGTGGGAGAATCCGCTCTAGAGGCAGCAGCCCTCCTGGCTGCCATTCCGGGAGAGGCAAAGCTGCAGCATTATAAAACAATGGGTGCCTCGCCAAGGATTGCAGGGGTGGGGGAGGCGAGGTGGGTGGAAGCCGGGAGGTGAGGGCAGTGGAACATGCGTGTGATGTCACAAGCAGAGGCCCTGCCGTCTACACATTCGCCAAAGCACGTAGACCCGCACAGGGCAAGGAATGGGCCCAGATCCACACCTGTACCTTCCACACTGGCTAACCGGTTGTGACAAGTGGGCCACGCTGTGACAAGCTGTGTGGGACAAGGAACTTTCTGTTCATTTACCCATCAACCTGAAACTGCACTAACTTCTGTTGTGTCACTTGACGCCAAGCTGTGGGGCAGGACAAGGTTTGCAGTAGAGCATGTGGAGCATGCACAGGCCCTGGGGTCCCAGGCCGAGTCCTGAAAACCCTGAATGCACCAGGGCACCTGCTTAACCCTAACCTTGCCATTCTGAGCTCAAGCCCCAGGGACGGAGAAGAGCTTATCGTATAGTCAGGAAGGGCAGTCCAGGGCACGGTGGGGACAGTACATCATGCATCCCAGAACATGCCTGTCACTGGTGTGTTCATTATTCTCATGTAGCTGTGACTGATGGGAAGGAGAGAGTAGTTACCCTCCCGGTTTCCAGGGTTAGTCCATGGTTGCTGGCCCCTAGACTTGAGCAAAGCGTCATGGTGGCGGGAGTGTGTGGCAGAGGAGATGGTCACCTTGTGGAAGGCAGAAGGAAGTAGAGGGGCAGAGGACCACATGCAGTCTTCAGAGGCGTGCCTCCAGTGACCACATTCCTTCCAGAACCTTCTCAAATAGTGCCATTAGCAGGAGACCAAGCACTCAACACAGCACCTGTGGTGGGGGGCGTTGGAGGGTCACATTCATAGCATGACAACCAAAGAGAAAGATGGTATGGGTTTATTTTACTGGGTGATGTAAATTTTACAAGTAGCAAAATGCAGAAACCTTAGGATACAGTTACTGCACACACCAGTATCAAAACAGAGAGTATTGTTGTTGGATTGATAGCTAGTATCATCCCTCTGGCTGCGAAAGTTTGGGAGCAGGGTTACCATGGGAATACATTTCATCATGTTCCCAGGAGTAAAATTTGGGGCAAGGTTTAAATCCAAGCACCACCACTTCCTACCCAGGTCTCCCCTTCTCCGAGTCATTCCCCATCTCTGACAGAAAGCCACATCTATCTCCTGGGTCTGTTTAAGTTCAGAAGGTCCCTGTGTGCTGGTCTCGTGTGGAGTTTCTAGGATGGAGGTGTGAACAGAATGACGATTGCTAGCCATTGCGCTTTGGGGGAGGATGAGTTCTCTGACAGCATCTCTCTGTCCACAGGGATGTGTCTGCAGGCATTTGTTGAAGCTTTCTTCTTCCTGGCCCAGAGGAAGTTCAAGATGTTGCCTCTGCATGAGCAGGTGGCCTCCTTGATCGACCTGTGTGAATACCACCTATCCCTGCTGGATGAAAAGCGCTTGGTGTGTGGCCGGAGTCGTCGCCCCCAAAGTAGTCCTCCCCAGGAGGTCAACCCCACAACCCAGCCAGCTGCAGGCAGCCCTGCACCCCGCATGATCGGTGCTAACAAGCTGTCGCACTCTAGACACGCTCTGTCCTGAAGACCACCCTGCCCTCCTGGAAGACGGTGCCCTCTTAGGGGCTGAGAACCCTGGGCTCCCCCGAGCTGTGGGAGCCTCTAGGGCTCTCTAGCTGCAGTGGCCGGGATCCTCTGTGTTCAGCACTCTCGACTCACACGGCCAGTTCTTGCCCGCCCTTCTCCCAGCACCTTACGGTGGGTGAACCACCCTGCTGTGAGCCATCAGGGGACATCTGACATTCGAGATGTGACAGATGGCACCTACTGTTGTGGGTTCCTGCGGAGCACCACCCGGAGAAGTTCTGCTGTGCTTGGGGCTGAAGGGGAGTGGAGGGTGGAGGAAAGGACAGACCATCTCAAAGCAAGGAACTGTGGGTCCGAGGTCAAACCTAGGGTCTGCTGGGGCCTCTGAGAGCCTGCTGGTCAGAGCTCAGTATCACAGCATCTCTTTCCTTCGACCCATTTTCTGAAAGAAGTAGAAATATCAAGATGGTGGACACCCCAATCATGTGTTACATGGGTGTACTTAACAGATTAACCTCACTTATTTCATTAACTTGCCTGTTGCTTCAATGTTTGATTTATCACTAATTAAGAGATAACAGGTTTCTCAGTCTCCTCGTCCAGGCTCCAGGGCCCCTGCAAAGGTGGGGCACTGACCCCATGGCCAAGAGCCACTGGGTACCCAGCCAGCACTGTGCTGTCAGCCCTGAGTGAGGAGAGGGGTTCAGAGGGAAGGATGTGTGTGGAGCGCATGGGGCTCTGTAGTGATGGATAGGGGAGCTCATTACGGACAAGCTGGCCCCCACCCCAAGACTGTTGGATAGAATTTTGGGGCCACTCTGCTGTGAGAGTGAACACTAGGAGACTTCTGCCCCACTCCCATTTCCCAGAGGCACCTCTGTCTGTACTCACTTTGGTGAGCAGCCCCTTGCTTTTTGGAATGAAAGCAGTGCAGACGCTCCTCCCTCCTGCAAGCCAGGCAGCCAGAGAGCCCAGGCAGGTCCGGGACCTCTGCTGAGGGCTGCATGCTCTGTGACCGGCTGTGGCCTAAGTCCCTTCTGTAGAGGCCCCTTGAGAACCATCCCAGCCTGCAGACAGGGCTCAGTTTGGAGGCTGGGCCGTGACCAGCGTAGGCAGGAGCCACAAGGACACAGGATTCCACAGGATTCCATGGCGCTGTTTAAATGCTGGTCCTACCAGATGCCCATCCTGTCCCCACCCCTGGCTTCAGGGCCTCCTGAAGCCTCGTGCTTCCCCACACAACCCTCCTGGCAGCAGGGGTGGGGGCTGTGTGTTTCCCCTTCTATTCCCCAGAGAACTCTGTCTTCTTCAGACTTCAGCAGGTCTCTCCCAGTTAGAGCCACACCTCTGCCCCCACACCCCTTGGTTCCTCCCTCCCTCCCTAACTTCCTGGAGGGAGCAAGAACACCAAAGGACCCTCAAATCCCTGCTGAAAGGGCCCCCAGTCAAGGACCTTTTGATTACCCCCCTTCCTTCCCCAGGAGCCACAAGGTACCCCAGCGCTGGCCTTGACCTCTAGCTTCCGAGAACTCTTAGACTCTGTTGTCAGGAAACAGTGAGTCCTTTCTTCACTGGCGGGGAGACCCTGGCAGGCCACTACTTCCGACTTCCCACCCCGCCCTTGACACTACCTCCACCAGGTCCAGTCAGATCCCTCTGGTCAACAGAAACAACTCCCTCCGCGGGCGGTTCAGTTCTAGAGCCCCGCTGCCTCCCATTCCCTCGGCCTCCCAGAACGAAGATCTCCGCATGTCTGTCCAGGAGTGCAGAAAGCCCTTTGTCATGCTTACGCTTACCTGGGGGAAGCCAGCTGTGACTTCAAGGCCAGAGGCGCTTGTTGAAGTGACAGGAAGCTGGGCAGTTCTAGGTGAGGAGACATGCGCCCTCTCTCCATATGCTGGGGACACCCTCACAAATCTCAGCTTTCTAAGCTGCGCTGAGCTGACTGGCTGAACATCCTCGATTCTCAATTGGCTGATCCCTTCCCCAAGCATGGTAGCTGTCCCATGAGCCTATGAAGACGCAAGGCTTTGCAGGTCCTTCAGTCTCTCCACAGCCAGTTTCCACCCTGTCACCCCCTCTAATGCCACCCACATTTTCAGAGAAGGTAGTCTGCCATGAGTTTAACTAGTTAGAGTGGGGCTGGAGGGGCATTTGGCAAACATCCCATGCCTTTCGAGATTATTCCAGAGACCCCTTTTCTTGTGTGAATGAACGTATTCTCGTTGCTTCATGGTTCAAAGGTTTCTTTTAAGTGTGTCTTCTTATGTACCCAGAGAAAGACAAGGGCCATCCCAGTCCTTCTGACACCCATCCAAAGTCCAGCTGAGCAGACATGGCAGCCTGTGTCACAGGGAAGCTTCCTCTGTTCTGTCAGAGCACACCTGGGAATTCTAGGGACTTGGGGCCTTCCGACTTACTCTTCTATTTGGACCCCCAAGGAAGACCCTGAGGCCCACGGAGACTGTAAGGACTCCGGGTCCTCAAACACCCAAATGTGGGTGATATCCTCTCTCAGTATCTTGGGGATGTTGAGTGAGATGATGAAAAGTGTAGCAAAGGCAGACGTATTTCTACAAACTGAAGTGCCTGAGGGACGTTTGCTTGCCTTCAGACTGGCTTCTGGACCCCAGCAAGTGAAAGTTTCATGGAGATGAAGCCAAGTGACCCCCCCTCCACACCTAACTGCCTTTCATCTGCACACATCTGAAGACATTTACAGGCTGGAAAACAGCCCCTGCCAGGCCTCAGATGTCTGCCGTTGGCCTTGTGATTGACACAGCACTGCTCCAAAATGGTTCAAATCCCGCCCCCCACACACACCTTTGTTCCTTGATTAATGCTGTTTATTCCTCAGCTCTGTAAGTGAGGACTGGGCTGGCTCTGGGGGCCTTCTCTGGATGCTCAGGACTCAATGAACACTCCTCTCGAAGCTGTGTTCCCAGAAGTGGAGAGCTGTCCGCACTCAATGAGGGAAACTCACCAGTGAGCAATGGCGCCTGAGACCTACCCAGCCTCCATTGATAATTTTGCCACTCTCCCGTTTCATTTGATGAATGTGAGTGAAATTTTCCACACACTATTCCTCACAAAATAATGCACTTTTTTTCTTGTTCTTGGACAAAGAAACTCTGCAAAACGCTTTTCAGTCGCCTCCTCTCTTGACCAAGTCTTGCTTTCACTTTAACTGGAAAAAACATACTGCCTCTGTTTACAGTTACACACAAGTACACATACATGCACACATACATGCATACTTACACACTCTGTACACACACACAGAGGAACATGTACCCACATTCACACACACTGAACTTCAACAGAAAATGATAAAGTCACGAATGTTTTCCTCATTTCTGGCATTTTGCTTTTGAGTCTGATTTGGAAATCAGGCTCTTTGTGGCCTCTGTGTTGCAGACCTGAAACATTTCCTTCCACAGGAAGGGGAAGCATTTGCACAGACTCTGGCCAGGGCTGTGGTCTGGGCCATGAGGACTCCCCCAGGCCTCAGTCGGGCTGCAGAGGTAGTTCCCTGCTTTCCCGTCAGAACGGAGATGCCAAAGGAGGCCCTGTCCCCTCTGGAAGGACCGGAGGCTTTGGAATTCTGATGTGAGTGTCAACTTGCTTGGTCTGTTGCACTGCTGTTAAGTGGCCGTGGATGGGTGACTTTCCCTCCCTGACACCTGTCCCTCTTCTGTGCAGAAGAGATCATGTCAGAATAGACCCAGAGAGCCTGGCAGGAGACTTGGCACCTGGAAGTGTCTTCACAAATGTCTGTTGAGAAAAGGTATGGTCTCGGCATGCTGAGAGCAAGGGATGCCAGGGAGCTCTGCTGCCGAGCCACTGAGACCTCAGCTCCACCTCCCCCGACACTCCCGCCTCTTAAAAGCCTTTCACAATTGTTTATTAAATTTTCATGGTGCATGTAGTCCAGGCTCTGCTACTGCCTCAGTTGTCTTGGTAACTTTGTAAAATGCAATAATAAACGGAAACTGAGTGTCGCTAACTACGGGCTTATTGTATAAATCGCTACAAAGTATTGACAGTTTCTTTTGTGTGGTAATTTTTGACAGCAAGCCTGCCAGGGGGGGACAATGTTTGTCCATTTTGGGTCAATTGGTAAGAAAAGGGCCCCTTTATTTATTTATTTTTTCTTCCTTCATGGTTGATATATGCTTGAGCGCTATCGACTCTAGGGAACCACGAAGGCCTGGGGAATCAGAGGGAAGAGCTTGGGAAATCTTCCAAACTGCCTGAGGACAGTCTCTTGGTGGGGGGGGGGGAGGCTCTGTTAGAAGTTGACCACTGTCAGACTCTAGGAGGGGCGCCTGCCCTGAGAGGTTTGCTCTCCCAGCTCCTCCCCAGAGACTGAAATGCCAAGGCCTCACCAAGGAGGCCACGGTGAGTACTACCAGCATACCTGGTGGTCACAACTCCGGAGAACAGGGCACCCCCCACCCGCCCCACCTCCCCACACCCCCCACGCCTCTTCCCGGCACCCCCCCACCCGCCTCGCACTGGGAGTAACATATGTACAACTCTGAATATTTCCCAGACTGTGGCCCACCCAGTGGGAAGTGGGGAGCAGATGGCCTAGAGTTAAAAATAAAGTGAGACCCCAGCTCCCGGAGCTCTCCACCCCGCCCAAGCGGCTGCGTCACAGAAGCACTCAGGCAGGCCGGGCACACTGACAGCTCCGCAGGTCCTTTGATCTCCGCAGCGCCAGTTACTTCGCAGAACATTCAGATCCTACGCATGCCTTGTTCTCCTACCATGTGACAGCCTCATTGGTCCCAGGCTCCTGTGTCATGGCCCTCTGTCCCTCCACTGTATTGTGGAGAGAGCCAGCTGTGTGGGGAAGATGGTTGCCAGGAATGGCTAGCTGGGTCCTCTACACCCGGGGCGTGTCTCTGGGGCTTGGAGTTGAGACCGCCCAGATCAGAGAGGCTCTTCACCCAGCTGCCTTCCCTCAAGCCCTGGGCACTCGACGATAATCCCTGGGGTGGGGCAGGCCCCCCTCTGTCTTTAGTCCAAGAAGCCCCAGCATTACCCCGCCACCACGTGAGGAGTTCGTTGTACGATTGCGTGCATGGCTATTCACTGACAAGTGAGGGGGCTCCAGGGGATCTTGTCCTTCTACCATACAAGTTAGGGGTGTGAGGTAAGCCTCTTCATGAAGACCAGGAGCCCGGGCCAGCTCTTGCTGTCACTTCAGCAGACAGAGCTGCCACCCCTGTCACAGAGGGACTCAGGACACACAACTGTTAACCCGTCTTTGCGGCTCTCACCTGTGAGGTGAGCTCCAGGCTTTGACAGAGCTGGGTCCCAAGAGAAATACACAACATCCAACATCTAAGTTCATGACCACAGAGGCTTCTGCTGGCCACCGGAGTCCAGCTGGACCTACACCCCTAGCCCCGCCAGCCTCTCGTTAACCAGGATGTTCTGTTACCAAACGGGTCTGCACCAGGTCCCCAGGGTGGGTGAATCTATTTAGCTCACTGTGGGATGGGTGAATCTATTTAGCTCACTGTAGCAAAGCACCACAAGCTGAAAGGTTTGTAAACAATGGGAACTTACTTCTTCCTCTTTGGAATTCCAAGATCAGGAAGGATGCCAGCACAGTCAAGTTCTGACTATAAGCTGCTCTGTCCCTCCTCGTGTCCTTATGTGGCAGGAAGAGATGAGAGCAGTGTGGGGGCCTGTCACTCAGCACCAATCCTGTTCCTGCTCTAATGACTTCAAGGCCCCGCCTCCTCACATCATCCCAGCTGGAGGAAACATTCATCAGCTGAATTTCAGAAGGGTGGGACAGTCCATCGCAAGGCATTTCTCTCCCCCAGCTCAGCCGCTTTGTGGACTCTTGAAGCCTCATGCTGAGTTTGTAACTCTCATCAATTTGAAGAAGTAACAACTCGCTCCTCACTCGGTTCTCACCGTGGACATGGACCTGCCCTGAGCTATTTCCAGAGTCAGCAGCTGTTGGCCTCAGTGGGTCTGTCCCTGGTTGTCCTGGGGCAAAGTAGGCCACAAATTGACAGGTTGGAAGCAGCCACTTACTTGAAGCTTCATGCGTTAGCTTTAAAAGTGCCATAACTTTTTGCATTCCGTTCAGTGCTGTGCTCATATTTCAGTCAGCCCAGGCAGAACTGAGATAAGGCAGCCCGCGGGTGCCTGCAGCTTCCCCAGGAATGCTCACATAGTTAGGTTAGGTGACAGTCCAAGGGGTCCAGCTGCTTCCAGCCCGGGCTCTTCCCTGTCTGGAGAGGTCTCCAGCTCTCTCGGAGAAAACAAGGCAGGGGACAACTGGAGATGTTGCCCAGGCCAAAGCCAACTCTGTCTCCACCCACAGGCCCTGGCCTCACCCTGTCACATGGCCCTGGCCCAGTGGCTGGTATAATGGGAAATGCACTCTCCTGTAAACCCAAGAAGACAGTACCACAGGCTGAGAATCACCTACGCCCTGCCCTGCCACAAGCTCAGCTAGGTTACTCGTGCACATTAGCATATGAAACCACACCTTACATAACCCTACAGCCCAGGGTGTGGCTGCTATCCACCTGTCCACACCAGCATATGGAAAGCCCATCACAACCAGACACAGCCCACGGCATCCAAAGAGGACTGAGTCAAAGACCCTCAGAAGATACCAACCTCTGAGGGTGTTCAAGTTGATTAGGGTAAAATGGAGTTCTGTCCAGCTGAGCGTGGTGGCTCACGCCTTTAATCCCAGCACTCGGGAAGCTTTAATCCCAGTGCTGGGATTAAAGGAGTGTGCCACAACACCCGGCTCTTGCCTACATTTTTAACAAAATTATTTAACTTTTCAATGTGCATTGGTGTGAAGGTGTCAGATTCCCTGGAACTGGAGTTACAGACAGTCGTGAGCTGCCATGTGGGTGCTGGGAACCGATCCAGGGTCCTCTGGAAGAATGGCAATGCTCTGAACTCCTGAGCCGTCTCTCCAGCCCCTCTTGCTCATTTTTTGCTCTGTATTCACAGGGGTGCCTGATGGAGTGGAAGGACAAAAGCCTTACCAAGACAGAGGCCTGGGGGACCTACAAAGTGCTCAGTGGGTGGAGGGCTTGCCACTCAAACCTGCTGGCCTGAGTTCTAGCCCACGGCCCCACGTGGTAACAGAGGAAGCTGATTCCTGGGGGTTATCTTCTGACCTCCACGCACATGCCACGCAGATGTGCACACACATGTGCACACACATGCCACACACATGCCACACACATGCCGCACACATGTGCACACATGCACATACACTGTAAATAAGATAATTACTTGTAAAAAGAGAGGGGCCTTAATTCAGGAACAAAGAGTTTTGAGTCACCCACATTCCATATTCTTTACTTCATAAAATATGTGTGTTGTGTATTTTACAGTGCTCTCCTTAAAAATAATTGCTGGGAGCTTTGATTCTTGCCATATCTGGAAAATGCACTTCCCTGCAAAGTCATACCTCAAACCCTGCTTAAAATGAACCCTCAGTGCATGGAGCACAAGAAGTGAAACTGCCTGGGCTTTTGATTTTGGTTGTTATACTTTTAAAAACTACAATAAATACATATGCATGGGTGTATACACATACACCAATGTATATACATACACCTATAAACTGCATTTGTGGCATCAAAAAATACATGAGCTAGTTTTCTTTCTATTGATGTGATAAACCAAAAGCAACTTGGGGAGAAAGGAATTTCTTTGGTTTATTATTCCATATCACAGTCCATCACTGAGGGAAGCAGGAACCTGGGACAGGAACTGAGGCCATGGAGGATGCTGCTTACTGGCTTGCTCCCCTTGGCTTGCTCAGCCTGCTTCCTTATAGAACCAGGAATGAGCCCCATCCCACCCTCCACCTCCCCTCTGCCCAGGGATGGCACCACCCACAATGGGGGGCCCTCCCACATCTGTCGTCAAAGAAGACAATCTGACAGAGAGTCTCCTCAACTGAGGTTCCTCTTCCCACATAAAACTCTAGCTTATGTCAATTTGACAAAACAAAACAAAAAATCCAGCCCAATATAAAGGATTAAAACAAACAAACAAACAGTTTAAAGGCATATGGTGACAAGGGATGTCCTCCATCTACCATTGGGGGCTTTCTGTGTCTTTTTAGGCAGTGTGTGTGTGTGTGTGTGTGTGTCTGTCTGTCTGTCTACACATCAACTTGTCTTTTTTAACCCAATGCTGTTTTTTGTACATACATGACTCTGTACCCTGCTATACACATGGAAGGAAATGGGTCTTAGCTTTTAGTGATATAGCAGGATCTACTACACAATGTATTGCAATTACATATCATACTGTCACTTTCTTCACTGACCCTTTATTTTTTATTTTATTTTTTATTTTTTGAGACAGGGTTTCTCTGTGTAGCTCTAGCTGTCCTGGCGCTGGCTCTGTAGACCAGGCTGGCCTTGAACTCACAGAGCTCTGCCTGCCCCTGCCTCCCGAGTGCAGGGATTAAAGGCGTGCGCCACCACCGCCCGGCTCTTCATTGGTGCTTAATCAATACATTCACATTGCTGCCAGTTATGTCACTGTGAAGTGTCCCAGTGGCAGCTGTCACACACACATCCCGACTTTACGTACAAGGATCACGTGTCCCAGAATTACCAGGTCAAAGCGTGCGTGCATTTTAAAATTGCCCCAGTGTGGTTCAGCTGATCTTCACAGGGGCTGGGCAGTTTTCAGCCCCATTAACCCTGTGTGAGAGGGCTGCCACCATGCCCAGTGTAGCCAGCCCTACAGGACACTGGCAGGGTGCAGCTGTTGGCCTGGGGGGTGGGGTGGGGAACACAGCATCATCTCATCACAGATTGAAATTCACTCAAGACTCTGTGTGGGAAAGCTGTTACGTTTCTTGCTCCGTCGTCTGACTGCCCCCGCCCCAGCCTGCTTGCCCGCCGTTCCCCCCCTTGACTTGTAACTCCTCTTCGATGACAAGAATCGGCCTTTGCTCAGAGGTCTGCGAGGCCCCTCTTCAACATG